TGTTTTAATCTCTGGTTTGTGTGGAAACATCTTTCAGTCCTGGGTTGATAAAAATATCTTTGGACATAACATCACTACATTTGTTTATACATTATAGGTATTACGTACTGGTTAAGAATGTGGTAGTTGCAGCCCAGATGCCTGGGATCAAGTCCCAGCTTTGCTGTTAATACCTAATTGACTTTAAGCAAGTTACTTAACCTCTTTTATGTCTCAGTTTTCTGCTCTATAAACTCTGGATAATGATAGCTACTTCATAGGGTTGGAATGAGAACTAAATTAGCTCACCAAATGAACTTAAAGCAGCACGTGACAAATGGTGAGAACTCAATACATGTTAGCTACTTTTTACATGGCCTTTTTCTTGTTGAGTCATTTTTTGTCCTGTGTATGTCTAATGACATTGATCACCCTGTAGCTAAATTAGTTTTGTCATTACAAATATTTATTATTAAAGTAGCCTTGACCTCTGGTGGTGTAGTGCCTAAGCCAGTTCTCTGCTAACAAAAAGGTTGGTGATTCCAACCCACCAGCCACTCCATGAAAGGAAGATGGAGCAATCTACTTCCGTAAAGACTTGCTACCTCAGACACCCAAAGGGGGTTGCTGTGAGTTGGAATCGACTAGATGGTAGTGAGTTTCTTTTTTTTTTTTTTTTTTTTTTAATGAGAATGCATCCAAATCCTAAAGCTAGAGTTTTCCAATCACATATTTATTATATAAAAATAATACATGAGGCTTACTTAGTTTAACCAGTTTTAAAATTGGGGAAGAAACTCTTTTCTAGGCATGAGTTACTGTGTGCATTTCAGCCACACACCTCCTTTTAGAATAAATTGCTCTTTGTATATTAATTCAACCTTCTTTGGAGTAATTGTGTATTCTTCACTATGCTATGGTAGTATTTGAAAATGGATTCCATTATATGTGTGAAATGAAAAGAAGTCACATGATAAAATGATTCAAGAAGCAAAATGTTACTATCTTTTTACTATTATTACTCTAATGAATTCAACTTGTTATTGTTGTGGTTAGGTGCCATTGAGTCATTTCTGACTCATAACTACCCTACATTCCACAGAACGGAACACTGCCCAGTCCTATACTATCTCACAACGCTTGCCATGTTTGAACCCATCGTTGCAGCCACTGTGTCAGTCCTTTTCCTGGAGGCCCTTCTTTTTCACTGATCCTCTACTTTACCAAGCATAGTGCCTACTCCAGGAACTGGGCCCTCCTGATAACTTGTCCAAAGTACATGAGATGAAGCCTTATCAATGACACTTGTAAGGAGCATTCTGATTGTACTTCCTCCAAGACAAATTTGTTCTTCTGGCAGTCTATGGTATATTCAATATTCTTTGTGAACACCCTAATTCAAAGGGGTCAATTCTTCTTTGTTCATCATTAGTCATTGTCCAGCTTTTGCATAAATATTAAGTGATTGAAAACACATGGTTGAGGACCCCTTAGTCCTCAAACTGACTTTTTACCACTTTAAAGAGGCCTTTTGCAGCAGATTTGCTCAATGCAGCAGATTTGATTTTTTGACTGCTGCTTCCATGGACATTGATTGTGAATCCAAGTAAAATCAAATCCTTGTATTTTCTCTGTTCATCACGATGTTGCTTTGTGGTCCAGCTGTAAGGATTTTTGTTTTCAACACCCACTTTGTTGAAGTGTAATCCAAACATTAACCAATTCTTTTTGGTACATGACTTTGTGTATTCCTTCGGTCTTCTTTTGATACTTTCTTGTGTCATTCAATATTTTGCCCATAAAATCCTTTAATACTACATGGAAGCTTAAAATTTTTCTTCATGTCTTTCAGCTTGATAAATGCTTGAAAAAAAATCCCTTTTGGTTTCTAACTCCAGATCTTTGAACATTTTAATATAATACTTTATATTTGTCTTCTTAAGCCACCATTTGACGTCTTCTGTTCAGATCTTTTTTACTTCACCATTTCTTCCATTCACTTTAGCTACTCTATGTTCAAGAGCAAGATTCAGAGTCTCTTTTGACAACAATTTTGGTCTTTTCTTTTTTTCCTGTCTTTTTAATAACTTTTTGCTTTCTTCATGTCTGATGTCCTTAATGTCATTCCACAAGTATTCAATGTATCGAGTCTATTCTTGAGATGATCTCTAAATTCAGGTGGAATATGCTCAAAGTCATACTTTGGCTCTCCTGAACTTGTTTTAGTTTTCTCCAGCTTCAACTTGACACATGACCAATTGTTGGTCTATCCTTGTTGGTCCTTGGCCTTGTTCTGACTGATGCTAGGGAGGTTCTCCATCATCTCTTTGCCATAGATGTCGTCAACTTGATGCCTGTGTATTGGATAGTTAATGCATGGTCCCACAATCCATCTGTCAGTTCTTGTTTGTGGTGTTGTGTTGCTTGCCCTAAATAATTGACATCAATGTTCTGCTAGACAAGGCTGGAGAGGGAGCCCGGATGACTCTTTCAAGGCTTTGAAACAGTTGTAGTGCAGTTGATTCCCACTCATGGTGACCCAATGTGTGTCCAAATAGAACTGTACTCAATAGAATTTTCAGTGGCTAATTCTCAGCAGTAGATTGTCAGGCCTTTCTTATAAGGAGCCACTGGATAGACTCAAACTGACCTACAGCTTTTTGGTTAGCAACCAACCATTAACTATTTGCACCACCCAGGGGCTCCCCCAAGGCTTTGGTCCCTATTAAAAATCTAGGCCTTTAAAGCTCTTCAGGCTCTCTCTCAGCCTACTGGTCCAGTCTTCCTCACACACTTCTTCTCAGTGGTTTAAGTTCCAGTGATCCTGACCTGTGTACTTTTCTACCTCCAGACCTTTGCCTGTGCTGCTCTCTGCTTGGAAAACCCATCCTCCTGTATCATCCCAACCTACCCCATCGATCTAGAAAACTCCTTTGAGAAGCTTCTCCTTACTGCCCTAGTTTGCTTCCACTGCTCTTTATTCAAGCCTTCAGGAGAGCAATGGTCACACAGCATTGTCAGCAATTGTTGTGCATGACAACATCCCTGTTAGAGTAGAATTTTCTTCATAGGGTATCGTGTCTTTTATCATTTAATACTCAGTGCCTAGCCCAGTGCTTGTCACACAATTCAAACAAAACAAAATGATAACAATTGCTGTGGAGTTGATTCTGACTCGTGATGACCCCACATGTGTCAGAACAGAACTATGCTCCAAAGAGTTTTCAATGGTAGATCTTTTGGGAAGTAGATCACCAGGACTTTCTTTTGAGGTGCTCTCATCTACCAACCCATTGTTGTCAAGTCGAGTCTAACGACAGTGATCCTTTGGACAGAGAACTGCCTTATAGAGTTTCGAAGGCTGTAATATTTATGGAAGCAGAGTACCACATCTTTCTCCCATGGAGCTGCTGTTTGGTTTGAACAACCAAACTTTCAGTTAGCAGCCAAGCACTTTCTCCACTGCACCACCAAGCTCCTTGCTGTCATATGTTGTTGTTGTTGTTGTTTGCCGTCGAGTCGGCCCCGACTCATAGCAACCCCTCCTTGGGTTTCCAAGGCAGTATCACTACGGAAGTAGGATTGCCCAACCTTCCTTCCGAGGAGTGGCTGGTGGGTTTGAACCGCCGGCCTTCTGGTTAGCAGTCAAGTGCCTTAGGCACTATGCTACCAGAGCTCCTTCCTGTCATATAGTTGGCACTTTAATAGGTGTTAAAATATTGAATGAGCATTGTATTAATAAAATTTCCTTAAGAGCCTAAACTCATGGACATTAGCTTATCTTGCCTTGAGAAGAAATGACTGGGTGGTGCAAATAGTTAATACACTGGGTTACTAACCCCAATGTTGGGAGCTTTTGTCCCACCTAGAGGGGCATTGGAAGAAGGGCCTGGCAAATTGACCTCTGAAAAATCAGCCACTGAAAAGTTTATGGAGCACAGTTCTGTGCTAACATACAGAGCTTACCATGAGTCAGAGTCTACTCCACAGCAACTGGTTACTGGTTGCCTTGAGAAAAAAGTTTGAGCCTTCTGTCAGAAAGGAAAAGAAAAGTAAAAAAAAAGAGTAGCATCCCTTTTTCACAAATTTTCAAGGCTCAGATATATAGCATTGCTCAAGTGGTATTGGAAAGGAAGAAGTTTCCAGTAGAATAAATATTGTCTTAAAATTAATAGATAAGAAAAATTATACATATATGCCTATTATTATTTATACTTAATTATAACTAGCAAGATTTTCTAGATTCCAAATGACATGTCTCAAAGTAATTGACTATAATGGGGAGTTGTTGTTTTGTGCCGTCGAGTCGGACCCAACACATAGCGACCCCTCCTTGGGTTGCCAAGGCAGTATCACTATGGAAATAGATTGCCTCATCTTCCTTCTGAGGAGTGGCTGGTGGGTTTGAACCGCCAGGCTTCTGGCACTATGCTACCAGAGCTCCTAATAATGGGGAGAGCTGGGGGGGGGGGAGGTTAGTAGTTTATTTCCTTATCCATTTAATCTAAAATGACCAGGAAATCAATGAGAAAAGCAGTTTCCTCTCTACATACTTTAAGGAAAAGCCATTAGAGCAAAGGCTGACATTATTGCCGTCACTCATTTGGAAACAAGAAACCCAGATCTTAGGTCATCACAGCCAGGCTGATGATACTTTTCAAGGACATGCAGAAAATATTGATAACAGCTGCACAAGACTTGTACGATGATAAACTCTTCTTTTTGAATTGGTGTTGAGACCTATTGTTATTAAAGAAAAGTATTTTCCTTAGAAGACTGGAGTTGGGAGCAAGTGAGTCTTTAAAACAATGTCATTTAATAATTCAGAATTTCAAGATTTTTCTATTTCCCTTGAATCACTTGAATTCTAATTTTCATGACATGTGTACACCCATGTAAAAAGAAAACATGGTTTTGTTTTTCCAGTAAAAGTTACAACAACCTGTTTTGTTGCCATGTATCATAGTTGTTAGCTGCCAGAGTGAACTCATGTTTTGTTCCCTTTAAAAGTAATACAACTTTTATTGCTTCATTCCTACAGAATCCTTTTGGAATAACTATTGTGTTTAGTACCGGAAAAATTAATCCAGAAAGTACCTATTCAACATGTGTTCAATATTCTGGGAGAAATTGGAAGGAAATTAAAGTTGTGTAATTCCTCATCTCCCCCAGACATTCTTGATCCTTTAGATCTTAGTCTAAGGAATTTACAGATGATGAAAGTGAATGTGCCTCTCCTCCCCAGTAGGTGAGACTCCATGTCAAGAAGGAGACCAGAGATGCCTGTACAATTCCTGCCTTGATTCATGTGGTGGTAGCTCCCTATGTGACCTGAACAATGGCCCAAATAACTGTAGTAAGTACCACAGCTGACAAATGCAATCACCGCGTCAGGACATGCCTTTAGCCTTTCTTTTTCCCATGGACTTTAAAATGCTGACGTCTGGAATCTCTCCAAAAAATTATACCTATTTTCCTTTTCTTTTCTGAAGGTTGCATGTGGTAGCAGAAAAGAAACAAAATGGTCTTCATTAACTTAAATCAGAAACAAATGTGTCATTGAAAATGAGCTATAAATCCACATTGCTTAATATCATTACCATTACTTTCAACTCAACATCAGCTCCTATATATTATTTTCTTGGCTCTGTCTGCAAACAGATGCTATCTTTCTTCCTTCTTAAAGTACAATTCCAAAATGGAAACCATCCAAGAAGCAAATATGAAGTTCATCTAAATAGCCACATAGAACTTTGGCGTCTGTTCTTTTAATAACATTTATTCTCACCTTTCCAGGAACTTTGCTGACTTCTAATGATCTTGGACAGTATGCTAATTTGTTACAGTTAGAGTATGTCAACTCCAAATGTTGTAAGCAGGTGGTTGTCTCTAAATCAGCTTTTAGGAGGAGGAACTTTTAGGAGAAGGTGGAAGGGAAAGTGCTAGACCCCTGAATAGACTCTCAAAGGAAATTTTAAACGAACCAGAAACCTCCAAATATGCTGATTTTTCGGTCAGCTTTGAGTTCACAAGCAGGTACTACTTTTTAGCATACATATTCTCTAAGGCC